ACCATTGCACTACAGCCTGGGCAACAGAATGAGACTGTCTCAAACAACAAAAGAAGTTTAAAAGACTGACAGTACCTAAATTGGGGAGAGTGTGAACCAACTTTGGAGGGAACTGCTAGAGGGAGTATAAAGCAGTACACCAGTGTAAACATACATTTATCATAATAACAAGAAACTCTTAAGTGTTTACTCAGGCAAAGGACAGTGTATCCACATCAAGACTTTTCTACAAATACCTCTAAATTTTATTCATAATGGCCCCAAATAAAAAAAAATTTTGATTTCTACCAACAGGTGAATAAACTATGTATAGAATTATACAGATCATTCTTTTTTTTTTTTTTTTTTTGGCGCTCCAGGTTGGAGCACAGTGGCACAATCTCAGCTCACTGCAACCTCAACCTCCCAGATTCAAGTGATTCTCTTGCCTCAGCCTCCTGAGTACCTGGGATTACAGGCACCTGCCATTGCATCCAGCTAATTTTTGCATTTTTAGTAGAGACTGAGTTTCACCATGTTGGTCAGGCTGGTCTCAAACTTCTGACTTTGTGATCCATCTGCCTTGGCCTTCCAAAGAGCTGGGATTACAAGCGTGAGCCACCATGCCTGGCTAGATCATTCTTAAATATTAATCCTTTGCCAACAAAGCTTGCACTCATGAGATGATTTATACTTTTTGCCAAGAAATTAGTCCAGAATAGTTACACATCTCGTATACTGCCAGTTAGTAAAGAAATCTTGGAAAAGGAATTTAGTCTTTTTTTTTTTTTAAAAGATGGGGGTTTCACCATGTTGGTTAGGCTGGTCTTGAACTCCCAACTTCAGATGATCCGTCCACCTTGGCCTCCACAGTGCTTGAATTATAGGCGTGAGCCACCACACCCGGCCAGGGAATTTACTCTTGTATTTTACCCTCTCTAGCCAAATAATTTGATACCTTTCAAAACTATGTTCTCAGCATGTTATAAATAGCTCTTCAATATTGTCTACTAGGTATGAAGGGAAAAAAATGCTCTCAAACTCTCAGAGTTTGCTACTCGTGCGCTGAATAGTACATTAACAACACAAAATACTACACAATGTCCTAACATTTCTCTAAGATCGGTCTGTTTTCTGAATGTACATAAAAGAAAATCCATTTCCTGAAGTTTTGCCTCTTTCTTAGATATAACTGCATACTAAGAAAATGACAGTTAAGACTGAAGGAGTCATCCATCCAACTTTAGCTTGTGGTCATTTACCCTCATCCCATCCAACATGTGGGCTGACAAAAAAGGACAGTTAAACCAAGGTTTTAAACAAATGTTCTCAATGGGGACTTGGTGGCTGGTGATATTGTGCCTGAGCATTTATAAATTATAACTTTCTGCTATTATTTGCTTCATTTTATATCTCCTTTAAAACAGTTCAAACATTATGTTTACTTTTGTAAGAAAAATGTATTAGGAAGATTTTTTTTGAATGCAATTAATTTAGGATGACAAAGAGAGCATGAAAAAGTATTTTACAGAAAGGGAAACTAGATCTGAAACTGTTTTAGAATACTGCTTGCATTAAAGAAACAACTAACAACTCTGGAGTATAACCATATTATACTCTAGAATTCTGAAACTATGCCAGATTAGGTAGAATCGGGCTTTCAGGAGGCAGGAACCTAAAAATCTAACTTTTTTTTTTTTTTTAGATGGAGTCTTACTCTGTCGCCCAGGCTGGAGTGCAGTGGCATGATCTTGGCTCACTGCAACCTCCACCTCCCAGGTTTCAAGTGATTCTCCTGCCTCAGCCTCCCTAAGTGCTGGGATTACAGGTGTGAGCCACAGTGCCCAGCCAAAATCTAATTTTAGATGATTCTAGTAGTGTTAACGTTTGAAAATCTCCAGTTTTTGAAATCTACAAAGTGTATGAACTATAACATATTTGGCCTCAATAAACCCATTGTTTGGCATATAGCATGGGCCTATAAAGTAATTGTGTGCATACATATTTATGTGTATAAACAGTCACACATTTTTAATTACTTGACAATGTCTAATACTAGAAAAACTTTGTTCAAAAATCCAGATTCAGGCCGGGCGCGGTGGCTCAAGCCTATAATCCCAGCACTTTGGGAGGCTGAGGCGGGTGGATCAGGAGGTCAAGAGATCGAGACCATCCTGGTCAACATGGTGAAACCCCGTCTCTACTAAAAATACAAAACATTAGCTGGGCAAGGTGGCACGTGCCTGTAATCCCAGCTACTCAGGAGGCTGAGGCAGGAGAATTGCCTGAACCCAGGAGGTGGAGGTTGCGGTGAGCCGAGATCGTGCCATTGCACTCCAGTCTGGGTAACAAGAGCAAAACTCTGTCTCAAAAAAACAGACTTTGCATTAAATAAAAGATTCTTCAATACTTGCCCTGCACCCACATGACAAACTGCTACAGCTAAGCAGTCTGCCTCCTGCTTGCACTCCCCACCATTTGCTATCATTTTACCCCCAAGGCTCACAGTTCTCCATCCCAACTACCTGCTTACCCTTGTGTAATAAATATTACTTGAATCATGATGCTTGTACTCACAAATTTATTAGGAAAATAAAGAACTGATTTGACCAAATGAACCTGTTACTTCATTAAGAAATGTCTAAACTTTTGCTTCAGCTAGTATTAAAACAAGTATGCAAGGAGAGAGAAAGGGAGAAAATACCCATCACTAAGACTCGGCATAGCATTTTTAATTTACTAAAGATAACTAATCCTTTTAGAAGTGTATTTTAAAGTATAATTTGTTAAAACCTTTTTCTTTAGTGTAAAAACAAAAACATCTTCCAATTTGAATGTTTTCTTTGAACTCTTGCTTACAATACAGCATAAAGATTAAAAAAAAAAAACCACTCAGATTGTAATTACATACAACATTTTGAGAAATATGGAATTCCAAACTTGTCTCAGAATTGAGAATGAGAACTTTATGACCTATGTTCTCATTAATTCAAGTCCACATGTCATGGCCATGATGCAAACAATACACAAAAATTCTATAATCATGCACAATTCAGATCTTAATTGGCTACTAGCCTGTTTAACCATTTAAAACATAAATAGAAGAGGCCAGGCAGCGTGGCTCACTCCTGCAATCACAACACTTTGGGAGGCCGAGGCAGGTGGATCACCTGAGGTCAGGAGTTCGACATCAACCTGGCCAAAATGGCAGAACTCCCTCTCTACTAAAAATACACAAATTAGCTGGGTGTGGTGGTGCCCAGCTGAAAGACAAGAATAGTTTGAACCAGAATGAGGTTGGAGTGAGCTGAGATCACCCGTGCCACTGTACTCCAGCCTGGGTGACAAAGGAAGACTGTCTCCAAAAAAAAAGAAAAAAATAAATCTTAAAATACATCTAAGAATTAAGAATTAAGATTTAAGTTTTCACCTGTACAAACTTTCCAGTCATGGGCCTCTTCAGAGCAAACTAGTGTGAACCATCTGAGAATATGTCCAACTTGCAAGCCAACAAATAACCTTACCAGTTTCATGGATGGTGACAAAAAGACACTCAAGGGTCTGAGACAAAGGGCCGTTTCTTTAACTCACAGGAACAGCATAAGCCAAAACATCAAGATTTTTGCACTAGTTCTCAAAACTCCAGGTTCCTATTGGGCAAACTGAAGAGAGCCAGTTGACATCTACCCAGGCAGTTCCTTCTCTACAGGACAGGAACCATAAGCTTAGGGAACCCTAATCTTTTAAAATGGGCAGTAAGCATACCTACCCTTTTGCTCCAGGGGGAGACACTAACCTTATTATACCGGATAGTATGCCTTTTGCTCTGGTGGAAGACACTGTTATCTTAGAAGGCTGCTCTTTAGAGAATATCCATGAAAAAATAGAAACAAAGGGCAGTCAGTATCTCCCTGGCAAGAGTGGAAGAAACGGAGACCTATGGAAAATTGTCTCCTACAAGTGGATACTGCTGGTAACATATAGTTAAATAAACGAGTCGCAGACTACAATCTATTTAAAGTATCCATTTCATACACCCCTGGACCTAGTGTAATTACTTAATTAGCATTTTATTTCAAACTGAACGATTCCCTCTGTCAAGTATTCAAAATGCTTCTCCAGTTACACTGTATTTTTTAAAAGAAGGTGCTCAAACATTTGCAATAATAAAATTTAAAAACCGGGAAGTGTTCTACCCGAAACTGTACTTAAACTTACTTTAGATGTTTCAAACCTGTTAACGTTAGCAATGAGAACTACCTGTCAAAAGTCTTTTTACAGCAAAAAAACACCACAAAGAGTAACTTCCAGCATTGTCTATAAAATACCAAAAAAACCCTGCACTCCAAATCACTTTGTACTATTTCTCTTTACCGTCTCAAAATAAAACCTTTGAAAGAGACAGACAACAAAACAACGTCTCTTGGTTCCTTTGTCCCCAGCAAAGGAGAGAGGAGAGAACTGGAAACTCATTACGGTAGAGCCCCAAACATGCAAGACAAATAAATGACATCCGATCTGCAATCATCAAAGAAAGTCACCAACACTTCATCTTCATCCCTCCCTTCCCCCTCTCCAGCTCAAATAACGTGAATATAGACGAGATGATCAGGATCATATGGACCTGGACAAAGCTCAGCGGAGGCAGCTGGCCGGTGGCAGTTAACTGGCTGCGGCCGGCAAAGAAGCCGAGATTCCGGCTGCAGGAGACTCGGACCGAGGTCTGCAAAAGTGCGGGCGGCGCGGGCCGCTCGGCTCCGGAGAACGCCGAGCAGCCGCGGCGGCGGCGGCGGCGGCGCAACCAAGTCCACAGCGCCCGGGGAAGTTGCTGGCCGAGCGCGGCACGCCGCAGAGCGCGGGCCCTCCATGTCACCGTCGCCAGCACAGACCCTCCCGCTCGCCCCTCCCCCGCCGCGCTCCCCGGGCGGCGGCGACGTGACAGCGGGTCGCGCGGCACCAGGGCGCCCGCCCCCCTCCCAGCCCCTTCCCCGGGCTCCCCCGCGGCCGCGGCCGGTTCTCACCTTGCGTGGCGAACGGCGACGAGCCGCTGACCGGCGAGCCCGGGGCGGGAACGGGCGGCGGGGTCTCGGCCGAGCCCAGCATGGGCGCGGGCAGCATGAGGTACCGCTGGGGCGCGGGCAGGCAGCGCTGGCAGAAGGAGTGCAGGCAGGGCAGCAGCTTGGGCGCCCGGCTCTGGATGTTCTGGTGGCACACGGCGCAAGTGTCCAACAGGTTGAGCCGGGCCGCCTCGCCGCCGCGCTCCGAGTCCGGGCCCTGCCGACTCTCGGCCTCGTTCTCCCCGCTCGGCGCGGCTGAGGGCCCCCCAGAGGCCGCCGCCGAGGCCGCTGCCGCCGCCGCCGCCGCCGCCTTCTCCACCGCCACCTCCATTGTCCTGCCCCCGCCGCCGCCGGGGAAGCGAGAGCGCGGTCTCCGCCCGCCGCCCTCGACGACCTCCTCCTCCTCCTGCGGCTGCTCCTCCGAGGTCGCTCGGTGGACCCGCGGCAGCGCCAGCGAAGGAGGGAGAGCAAGCCGGCCGGGGGAAGCCTCCTCCGGCCCCGGGGATCCGCCTCCCGAGTGGCGCGGCCGGAAGAAGGGGATCTGTCAGCGGAGACCGTTCCTCGCACCGGGGAGGCTGCACCCCGTCCGCTTCGCCAACCGCCGCGGCGCTCGTCGAATCCGCCCAGCCCGCCCTCGCCTCCCCGCCTTTCTCTTCATCCCCCGGCCCACCTCAGGCCCCGCCCCCGCCCTCCCTCTCCCAGCAACTGAGTCCTCGGCGAGGAGCGCGCCGCCCAATAGCGGCCGCGCCTGGCGAGGGGGCGGGGCCCGCCGGAGCAGGCGGGAGGTCGGGAAGTGGGAGGTGCTTTCCCAGCTCCGCCCGCTCCGGGCTTCTGGAACCGCGGCCTCTGATTGGGCCTTTGTGTGTGTTTCCTCCGCTGAAAAGATTAAGGGTTCATTTGTTAACGACCAGACGCCTGATTCGGTCCGCGTTGTTAGCTCCTCCTACGGGGTGGGACCTCACTTGTCTACTCCATGCCGTTAATTAAATAACTGCTTGGAAAACTGGTTTTAATACTGGAGACCGGGTCTTGTAGGAGGAGTAAATGTGGTGGGAGGGTCACAGGAGGAAGGAGCGGAGGTACTGAAGAGCAAAAGAAGGGAAGAATTTTTAAAAATACTGTGTGCAAGAGGTAGTCTAGAGGCAGCATGAATTTTGCAACCTAGGTGTACTCATCTTTAGAATGATGAGCATGAAGAATAAGAGAAGTTCTCGTGCAAGTTGGAAATTTTTAAACTGTTTCCCCAATGAAAAAGGTGAAATTAGGCCGGGCGCGGTGGCTCAAGCCTGTAATCCCAGCACTTTGGGAGGCCGAGGCGGGTGGATCACGAGGTCAAGAGATCGAGACCATCCTGGTCAACATGGTGAAACCCCATCTCTACTAAAAATACAAAAAAATTAGCTGGGCATGGTGGCACGTGCCTGTAATCCCAGCTACTCAGGAGGCTGAGGCAGGAGAATTGCCTGAACCCAGGAGGCGGAGGTTGCGGTGAGCCGAGATCGCGCCATTGCACTCCAGCCTGGGTAACAAGAGCGAAACTCCGTCTCAAAAAAAAAAAAAAAAAAAAAAAAGAAAAAGGTGAAATTAATTTTTAAAGCCAGTGATTTGCTTTTTAGGTGAACAAAAGCGGTTCGTTTTCCCAGGAATTAATAAAGATTGGGAAATGTTTTTATTGCATAAATATAGCATCATTAAGTAAAAATAAACCTCAATACTTATGCCAAAATGATAACTTCAAGATTCTTATTTTCTCTCTCATCTCTACACTGACATCAGAGTTACGCACATTTTCCACTCAAAAAATGGCGCTGCTTTTAAGGAACGTGAAGAATAGAAACGGAGGGGAGAAAACAAGCTTTTGTATACAGTAACTTTAAGAAGTGTGTATAACCGGGCGCGGTGGCTCACGCCTGTAATCCCAGCACTTTGGGAGGCTGAGGCGGGTGGATCACGAGGTCAAGAGATTGAGACCATCCTGGTCAACATGGTGAAACCCCGTCTCTACTAAAAATACAAAAAATTAGCTGGGCATGGTGGCGCGTGCCTGTAATCCCAGCTACTCAGGAGGCTGAGGCAGGAGAACTGCCTGAACCCAGGAGGCGGAGGTTGCGGTGAGCCGAGAATGCGCCATTGCACTCCAGCCTGGGTAATGAGAGCGAGACTCCGTCTCAGAAAAAAAAAAAAAAAAAAGAAGAAGTGTGTATAAATATCTTTTTTCAATACGAATGAAGTGGTACTGGACTTCAGAGGAGGATGGGGTGCGTCATAAAAAGGCTTTGCTAAAATCACAGTTTTCCTGGAGACAGTAGGATGGCAATGGGGGAGGTCTAGGGAACCCAACCTTTCCCTTAAACACAGTCTCCGTAGGCCTCAAGTGAGAGGTTCTTTTACTTAATCACATGCCTTCAACGCCTCTTTCCCCACCCCCGACATTGGTTCTGGTTTAAGCTTGGGTTTTTTGGGTTTTTTTGTTTGTTTGCACGGAAGTAGCTCTTAAACCGTAGTTTGCATAAGAATCACTTGAGAAGCTTAATGAAAAGCAGGTGCTTGGGCCACCTCGGTATTCAGTTATTCAACTTTGACAGCATCTCAAGTGATTCTGACCTAGGTGGGTCCAGAAACACACGTCTATCCCACTTGTCTTCACCCATTCACAAATCCCTCCATGATTCCGTCGTATATGCCTCTCAAGCTGAAGTCGCCGCTATTCTCATGCTTCGTGCTGCAGCAATGTTAAGGCCACTCTGCTTTGCACGCTGTTCCCTTTGTTTTAGTTCCTTCAAAATTCAGACTTAACTGTTATCCCCTAAAAACCACCCCAAAGTTAAACCCTCCTTCCCCAGAATTCAAACCGTACTGTATATTTTTGAAACTGCACCTTGAGCCGGGCGCAGTGGGTCACGCCCGTAATCCAAGCACTTTGGAGGCCAAGGTGGGCGGATCACCTGAGGTCGGGAGTTCAAGACCAGCCTGACCAACATGGTGAAACCCTGTCTTAATTTTTAAAAAATTTAAAAAAAGAAAAAAGAAACTGCACCTTGAAAATCTTCACATGCTAGGAATGGAAATGTCGTATTCAAAATTAACTCCCTTAATATGCTAAAAATTCATTACTTAGGTGGTATACAGGATTCAAGCCTACTAAAGGTAAGTCCCTCTTCTTCCTCAGATGGTGGTGATAGAGAAGGAAAACTGAGAGGTAAAACTGAATACATTTATTTTGAAACAATTCCATGTAATTCAACCAAACCCACTAGGTTGAAGTTTTTCAAATCATCATGGATTTACAGAAAATTATCCTCCATCGTTTTAGCCTTCCTAATTTCACATGAGTAAAACAATTGGACCTTGTACTTCGTTCACGTATATGGCACTTCAAGTCCAGAAAATGAATTTATTATTTTGTTGTTGGTGGTGGTGGTGTTGTTTTTAAAGATGGGGTTTCACCATGATGACCAGGCTGGTCTTGAACTCCTGACCTCAGGTGATCCACACACCTTGGCTTCCCAAAGTGCTAGGATTACAGGCATGAGCCACCGCGCCTGGCTGTTTTTTTGTTTTGTTTTGTTTTGTTTATAAAGATGGGGTTTCACCATGTTGGTCAGGCTGGTCTTGAACTCCCGACCTCAGGAGATCCGCCTGCCTTGGCCTCCAAAGCGCTTGGATTACAGGCGTGAGCCACCACGTCTGGCCTATTATTTGTTGTTTTAATCATATAATTTCTTTATTTGGATATTATTACCCTACAAAGTGTGTTCAAATATATTTCACAAAGATCCACACTACCAATAGATTATTCTTCCTTTTTTTTTTGAGACGGAGTTTCGCTCTTGTTACCCAGGCTGGAGTGCAATGGCGCGATCTCGGCTCACCGCAACCTCCGCCTCCTGGGTTCAGGCAATTCTCCTGCCTCAGCCTCCTGAGTAGCTGGGATTACAGGCACGCGCCACCATGCCCAGCTAATTTTTCTTGTATTTTTCGTAGAGACGGGGTTTCACCATGTTGACCAGGATGGTCTCGATCTCTTGACCTCGTGATCCACCCGCCTCGGCCTCCCAAAGTGCTGGGATTACAGGCTTGAGCCACCGCACCTGGCTAGATTATTTTCCTTAATTACAGCTCTCAACCTATGTTCCTCTCTTGTCCCATAATTTTCTGTGACTCTCCACTGCATCCAAAGCTCTCCACAATTTTATTACCATCTGATCTTCCTGCCTGATGTCTCTGCTTTCCCATATCCGTCCTATGCTTCCGCCTAATTGGATGACATGCTGTTCCTTAACTGCACCACTACCACCACCTGTGAGGAAGGAGATCAAAGCTGTCTGGACTGGAAGAGAAGGACATCAGCAAGGAGAATAAGAGCATTAGATGCTAGTGAGATTTCTCATCCCACCCCTCAAAAGATGCTCGTGGGTGGAAATTCTAGAACTTCCAGGGAATCTTAAGAAAATCATTTCTGCTGGGCGCGGTGGCTCAAGCTTGTAATCCCAGCACTTTGGGAGGCTGAGGCGGGTGGATCACAAGGTCAAGAGATCAAGACCATCCTGGTCAACATGGTGAACCCCCGTCTCTACTAAAAATACAAAAAAATGTCGGGCGCGGTGGCTCAAGCCTGTAATCCCAGCACTTTGGGAGGCCGAGGAGGGTGGATCACGAGGTCAAGAGATCGAGACCATCCTGGTCAACATGGTGAAACCCCGTCTCTACCAAAAATACAAAAAATTAGCTGGGCATGGTGGCGCGTGCCTGTAATCCCAGCTACTCAGGAGGCTGAGACAGGAGAACTGCCTGAACCCAGGAGGCGAAGTTTGCGGTGAGCCGAGATGGTGCCATTGCACTCCAGCCCGGTAACAAAAGTGAAACTCCGTCTCAAAAAAAAAAAAAAAAAAAAAAATCATTTCTGAGGCTGGGTGAGGTGGCTGCTTCAGCCTTCTGAGTAGCTGGGATCGCAGAGGCGCCTGCCACCATACCTGGCTAATTTTTTCTATTTTTAGTAGAGATGGGGTTTTGCCATGTTGGCCAGGGTGGTCTCAAACTCCTGACCTTGTGATCTGTCTGTCTTGGACTCCCAAAGTGCTGGGATTACAGGCATAAGCCACCACACCCTGCCAGCTAATTTTTGTAATTTTTTTAAGTAGATGTGAGTTTTTGCCATGTTGGCCAGGCTGGTCTAGAACTCCTGACCTCAGGTGATCTGTCTGCCTCGGCCTCCCAAAGTGCTGGGCATAAGCCACCGCGCCCAGCCAAGGGAGCATCTTTTTAGAATCTATGTAAATATACTCTATACATATATACCTGCAATACATCATTGAAATTATAATACAAATAATTTTAGTAAGCTTTTAACCAAAAGGTTTGGACTGAATTGTGCCCACTCCCCCACCCACCACCACCAAATTTATATATAGTAGCCCTAACTCCCAATGCAACTGTATTTGGGTCTTTAGGAATAAAGTTAAATGAGGTCATCAGAGTGGGGCTGTAAAAGGAAACCACTTTTTTTCTATATTCACAACACTTCTGCTACCAGATGTATGGGTTTTCCACATCAAGGAATTCTCCAGTTTTCTGCAAACCACACTAGATGTCCAAAGACTCAATTCAGTTCTGGCATTAACCATCCAGAGTTGACATCAGAATCTACAGGCTCAAGGTTCACTCTGA